TTTTCCCACTCTCTCTCTCTCTCTCTCTCTCTCTCTCTCTCACTCTCTCTCTCTCTCTCTCTCTGTCCAGAAATCCAAATTCAAAAGGGCACTATGGGATTTTGTTGCTTGCAGAGTTTATTTTCTATGTTTTTCGTTTTGATTCATTGCAACTGAGGTATTCTAGCTATCTCAGCCTTTGATTGTTGCCTTTGATTGAACTGGTTGATGAGTTTACTCTAGATTTAGATTGTTTGGAGTCTTTTTGTCATATTTTATTTTAAATTTAAAACTTTTGTTCTCCACGCAAGGAATTGAATTTTAATACATGAGGTTGATCAACAAAACCTAAGGGTACATCTACTCTCTCTCTCTCTCTCTCTCTCTCTCTCTCTCTCTCTCTGTGTAAAAGACTTATTTACAGTCTTTTCTCTCTCTCTCTCTAACCCAAAAGAGTACAGCTGGACCCATGGGCAGCACCAACTTCTGATTCTGTACTCTAATTTCTAATTATTAAGTTCTGTGTGTATGGAGTATAGATTGAAAAATTAAAAATTAAATGTAGAAGTGGATTTGATTCTCTTTCTCCAACCTTTAACATAGTTTAATGCACACTTTTAAATGTGTATTTGTGGGATTTTAATTTCAACTCATACTAGAGGACAAGAACCTTTAATGTTTGCTTTTGATGTTTTGTAGGTGGTGTTCTGCTGCTTTAGATAGAGCTGTTTGGTGGTTGTTTTTTGTTCTGTTAATTAAGAGGTGTGTTTCTATGTTGAAATTCCCATGTATTGTTTCGGTTTTGCATTTCATATTTGATTTTGAAGTTTATTGGTGTGTCAAAATAGCTAGGTTTAATGTATGCTAGGAATGTGTCATCGGTTAAGTATCAATAAAAATTTTGTTTTTGTTCTCAGTTACTGTTTATACCATGCTTGAATCCGAAGTATAAGATGTGATGATAATTGAAATGCCTAGAGACCAATCTTGCTTCTGATATTTTATTTTCAACTGATTTGCTTAGAAAAAATAGAGAACAAGTTTTATTTTTTGCAATCTCTGTTGATAAATGAGTAATTGTTGATGACCCTTCTTTTCTTTTTCTTTCTTTTGGCCTTTTTGGGTTGTTTCTGTGTTTTGTCTGTTTGGGACAGTGTCTTACTGCCAGACAAGAAGTCTTATAAAGGATGGAGTAGCATGTGCTAGCTCGCAGCTTATATATATGCCCCAATTATGTCAGAATTCAGTCATTTGTTTGCTTTGCATTATTTCTCTTTATTTTACTTCAGAATATTGGATTGTAAATGTGTTCCTGTTGTTATCTATATAGTAGCTCCTTTTTTTCTTCATTTCCTTTTGAAAATCATTGTTTATCGTAAATCATGTGCTTTAGACCATTACCACAAACAGAATCTGTGTGTTTTTATTTTTCGCTCTTTTGATTGTTGCTTTATTTCATTTTTCGGTTTTTGCGTTTTTCTATAGGTGCTGTGTAACTGCTTTTTGGACTGCTTGATAGCTCTTCTCATTGTTGCTAGGCAACAGGTCAGTTTTCTATTCATCTGTTGAAGAGGTCATGCATATCAACTGTGGAAAATTGGTTTTTGGATATTGTGTCATTTGAAAATTGTTAATTCTGTGGTTGTGATATTTTGCTTATATCTGGGTTAAACTTAATATTGTTGATTGATTTGTTTGGAATAGGTATTTCATGAGGAAGCTGAAGAAGGTCAAGAAGAGCAATGGTCAAGTGCTTTCCATTAATGAGGTTTGTTCTCTTTGCCGTTTATACTTTATTTTTTTCTAATTAATAAATTTGTACCCATTTTGATTATTTGTCAGTGTCTAATGTAGTCAATGTTTTTTTGCGGTGGAGAAGTGGTTCCTTCTCAACTCTCCTCCTGGTGAAATCCAATTTGTTGCCAATGGTCTCCACCTTTGACCCCAAAGCGTCACTCTTTTATCACATTTATTTCGCTTTTTTCTAATTTTGTTTCGATCAGTTGAATCGTAATTTGTATTTGATGTTTGCCTTTGGTGGCAGATGTGAAGGAGGCTGCGTCAGAGGCATCCTCTCGAATATTATGAAAACCTATCAGCATATCCACACCTTCTTTTACACCTTATTTCTCTGCACATTCCTCTCAAAAACTTAAATGCTTTATGCTCCACCATAGCCTTTGGTAGTTTTCTCTTCTTTCACTTGGTTCCATTTTAAGTTTTAACTTTTTAAAAAAATCTTTATTCTAAATTTGTTACTTTAAATCCTTAATTTTAGGATTAGTTAT